ATCTCATTTTGAAAGATTTTGGAAGTCCCTGCAAGAGTCTTTCAGAGTTGGGCCCTGCCCTACTGCAAGAATATATGATATGTGTGGTTATGTGGGCAGGCTGTCCACCACAGAGCCTCAAAAAGAACACATTAACAAGAACATTGCAAAGCTCCCTGCCTTCTCCAGCTCTGTCTTCACCTCCGTCATCCTTACCTTGTGATCTCCAACATGAAAGTAGAAATTCTGAGCCTTGGCCTGGACAGGCTGGCTGCCTGCGTGGATGGAAATCTGCCCGCTCATGCGGAGTTGTGACATCAGGAACTGCGAGGCTTTGTGCTCCCTGCACGCACTGCTCACGGCAAGAATGACATCACGGAGCTCAGGAAACTCTGCTAGGTCAGTGCACGCTGGCGCCATCATATCCAAGACTTCATCAACACTGGTCTCAGGAATGTACACATCGAAGCCCTGCAACAGGGTAAGTGAAGAACAAAGATCAGCTTGGTTTCATGTTGTACTCTTGTCAGCCAAATTCCTGAAAACCCTAGGAGGAAATTGAAATATTATCGATTGGTAACTTTGAAGACAGGAATAAGAAAAGAAAGAAAGGACAAAGGAAGAAACCTCAAAAGCAACAAAGGCTAGACTGGCGGAGGCCTCTAAAGCAGTGGTATGTACCTATAAATCTCAAAATAGAAACAGAAACTAGATACTGTAACTACAGATACATACTGGAAAACAGTCTTCTTGGTTACCATTTCAGCGCAGGGCCTATTCGTGGAAGCTTTATTAAAGAAAAACAAAACAGCAAGGAAGAATCCAAAGGAAACAAGAGGAAGCAAAGGAAACGCGGTAAGAAACAAAGAAAGGTCTAAAGTCTAAAGCAAAAGGAAGGAAACAAAGAAAGGAATGAAGAAGAGGAACCTCAAAAAAGAACGTAAGTTAAAATGTTCTAAGAAGCAAGGAAGGAAGCAGAAGCAAGTGAACAATGAAAAGAACAAATAAGAAATGTCTAAAGGAAGAGATCAAGAAAGGAAAAGGCTCACAAAAATGTAAGCTAGACTGATGGAGGCCTCTACAACAGTGGTATCCACCTGGAAGCCTGTTCGCATTGGAATCCCCTGTCAACCACGGAGACAGAGAATAGCACATACACGTGAAGGTGAAGGTGCACGTCGCTGCAGCCTGCTCCATCTCTGTCTTCACCTCCGTCATCCGCACCTTGTGATCTCCAACATGCAGGTAGAAATTCTCAGCTTTGGCCTCAACATTGACCTGAATAGGCTGGCTGCCTGCACTGATGGAAATCTGCCCGCTCACACGGATTTGAGATGCCAGGGCATCGTATTTCTGGCCAGTGCCAATGAAATCACAGATCTCGTGAAGTTGAGACGATGGTAGGTCTACGCGAACCGACTGCAGCAGCTTCATGATGTCGATGCTGTCAAGGCTCGTCTCAGGAATGTCCACATCTATACCCTGCACACGCTGACACCCAGTCTCTCCCCCTCTCTCTCAACCCTTTTGGAAGTGCACGCACACCAAAACTATGTTTGCCAGGCCATCACGCACTGGAGGCCTTGGAAACAATCATGAAGTGTACTTGTTCTTCGCTGGTGAAATGGAAATGGTACAGACTTTCCTTTGCAGGTTTTGTGGAGCGCGGCTTGCGCCTTTGGTGTGGCGAGGCCACTCGGACAAAGGGAGCATGTGAACTACTTCCTCCACATGGTTTTCCACTGGCCACATTTGTCCGGCGCATTTCTTTGCAGGCTTGGAGCATGGGGCCCTTTAGGTGTTGGGCAGCCTGCGTGGGACAAGTTGGGTTTTACTCCGCCCTTTTCTTGTAATTAGCGCCCCACATTTCTACCTTACCCAGAGGCCACGAAAGAAAGAAAGAAAACTACGGCCAAAGGTCCTCGCCGCTGGTGACGTAGCGGTTCTTACTTTTCTTGCTTATTGCTGCTGAAGTAGTTTCTCCCGCTGGTGAAGTGCTGGCGGTAGGTTTCCCGCGAGCGAGACCTCTGTCTGCGCGCGTCTGCCCTTTTACTGGCTTCAGCAAAACGAGGCGGTATGCCTTCGCCACTTGTAAAGAAGCATCCCGAAACCTTCCCAGTGCCATAGCCATTCCAAAGTAACATAAACTAACGGTTCACTGAATAGGACGGATCCTTGTTGGGTTGTTGATTCCCAGGAAGAAGAGAAATGCCAAACAACTCGAATCCGCGCGCGTTGCAAGAGCTGTTGGCTGTTGAGAATGACTGCTGTGTGAGAGCCATGTCATGACATGCCAAACCTGGTCCTCGTCTCTCACAAGAGAACCACCAACGCCATGCCTGCTCTGCTTGGGACAGGGTCTCCAAAGCGGGAATGGATCCGATCAGGCTCTCCCATTCGTCTGGATTGCTTACCGACGCCAGCTGCAAGGCTTCTTTGGCACTTACGCATGGCATCGCATCTGTGGACAACCGCTGCAACTTACCCTGAGCACTGAAATGGCAAGCGGGTAGAAAGATGAATGGGACGAATTGAAAGATTCGCGCTTTTCGTTGAATGAGCAAGAAAGCAGCTCCCATAAATGTACAACTCCTGAGGACTTATCCGATCTGGCACAGGCAAACAATAGCGTTTGATATAAATTCAAAATCCCTTTAGGGCCGAGAGCGCTAGCTGCTGGCTGCTTGTATACTCTTCGCTCAGTAACCCAAGCCACAAGGGTTTGTGTATGGCACCAGGCGAGGCCTTTGATGTACTTGCCAGGATCTCGGTCACCAAACCTCAAACCTCTTTGACATATGGGGGTTGTTCAAAAGTCCTTTCTTTTTTCCAGGCCTTTCGCAGGACCTTCGCGAAGCTTTCGCGCGTGGGGTTTTACCACTGTCAGCGAAAATGGTTTTTCGTTGGGGCTAGAGGTTTTCAAGGATTCATGCAGTTGCCCTAGCACGTCTTGCGTCCTCTGATCACTGACACATTGGTTGCTGAGGAATAGGAAGCCAGCCAACCAAGCCATTTTCATTTTGGTGTGTTTTTGGTTGGGCGCAACCCTCCATGAACAAGAGACGGCTCAGGCCAGTTTGCTCCGACTTCCGCCCGCGAAAAAGCAAAGTGGTTCAGACTTTCAATTTGCTTTGGGCGTTTGGGCGGGGAAAACCAAAATGGTTCAGACTTCCAATTTGCCGGGAAAAAGCAAATGGATCAGACTTCCAATTTGCTTTTCCCGGGCCCAAATGGATCAGACTTTCAATTTGCTTTTTCCCCGGCCGGGAAAAAGCACATGGTAAAGACTTCCAATTTGCTTTTTCCCGGGCCGGGAAAAAGCAAAATGGTTCAGACTTCGAATTTGCTTTTGCCCGGCCCGGGAAAAAGCAAAATGGTGCAGACTTCCAATTATGGTTCAGACTTCCAATTTGCTTTTTCCCGGGCCGGAAAAAGCAAAATCGTTCAGACTTCCAATTTGGTTGAGACTTCTAATTTGCTTTTTACCGGGCCTGGAAAAAGCAAAAGGCTCAGACTTCCAATTTGCTTTTCCCGGGCCGGGAAAAAGCAAAATGGTCCAGACTTCCAATTTGCTTTGGCCGGGAAAAAGCAAAAGGCTCAGGCTTCCAATTTGCTTTTTCCCGGGCCGGCAAAAAGCAAAATGGTCCAGACTTCCAACTTGGCCCGGGAAAAGGCAAACAGCTCAGACTTCCAATTTGCTTTTTCCCGGGCCGGGAAAAAGCAAAAGGCTCAGACTTCCAATGCGCTTTTTCCCGGCCCGGCAAAAAGCAATTGGTTCAGACTTCCAATTTGCTTTTACCCCGG